TAAGAATTGACCAATCACAATTGAATGTAAGAAGAATATTCGATTGTAATTGGTCAATTCTTGCGACTTACGGCTTACGACCCGACATACGACGTACTGTAGAACGGGCCTAAGCCTGAAGCCGTAAGAAATAGCAAATCGAACGTGAAGAGAATAATCGATTACGATTGGTCAATTTTTTACGGCTTCAGGCTTACTACACCTATTGTGTTTCGGGACTTAATGCATCTAAGGATAAAATGATACACTGGTACACTCAAGTGATGTTTCCGAACTCTAATTTATCTACTAAACGCGCCCAAATTCAAAGCTGTTATTACGTTATTTTTTTATGGCAGTTAATAAGTGTTACGACGTCTTTCACCTTTATGATAGTTTTATATGTTGTATATGTTTATTCATTCTTGTGCTATAAACTGCAAACATGTTAACCTTAGTTAAATTTTTTAATGAAACGTATTATATTTGTAAAATGTTTCAGGCGTTTGTACGACGTGATTTATGCACTGTGAAAAAGAAAATTACGAGAGCACACCATAAAATAGAATTTGTATTGCAACATCGTAAGTCATTTTTATTGTCAGAGATTCTTAGAAAATTATAGAATAATGTCTCTATTATTATATATTTTTAAATAAGTATGAGAAATGTGTTTAAATGGTTTTATTTACTTAACATATAAAAATACCATATTATTGTTTGTAAGTTTATTACATGTATATTTTTTATATTATAAGAAATGTTAATATCTTAATGTATTTAAAAAAATTTGAAAAAAAGATTTCCAAAAGTAAGGTTATTTAACAATATACGAGATAAGCAAAAAAATTTGTAACAAATTTAAGAGAGAAAGAGTTTTAAACTTTGTTTAAATTTGCTGTTGTTTTTTTAATCTTTTTAAGTTGATTGTGCAGCCACGTCTTTACTTGCGGAGATGATCTATTTTTCAAACATGGATTTTGTTTTAGAACTTGATGAATTTCCCGTAAAGAAGGCAACTTGCCACTTCTCATGTTTTCATCAAATGCTTTTAATACCGCCATTTTTTCATCTTCATTCCATCGTGTTCGCTTTGTTCGACCATATGGAGAGCCTGTAACAAAATGTTAGCCATGTATAAGATTTAAGATTCTTTTACCAACTTCTTACATCGTTTGAAGTAAGTGTTTTAGAATCAATTTATAGATTATAATTTACATTACGTTTTATTAAATCTATTCACTTAAAAATTATTTTATTGACTAATTGAATTACATAAAATTTTAATTTTTAACTTCAAATTTTAACAACTTAATAAGTGAATAAAAAAATTGTTAATAAATTAATAGATTAATAAATTTAATTGTAAATACGTAGGTAACATTTAATGATATACAAAATGTAAATTTGTAAATGTATAATTGATTGTTGTTTTTTTAACTATCAAAGTTATTATATTTTATAACTTTTCATTTTAATAGAATAAGTTATATAAAAAAGTTAATAAAATTAAAAAGTTCGCATTTAATATAGCTTAATATAAATATTTAAATATGTAAATATATAGAAATTATTTTATTGACTAGTGAATTAAATTTTAATTTTTAAATTTTGACTGTATCATGATAGTATATAGTTGTTAAAATTGAGTATCGTAATAGTTATTAATACAATTTATGATTAATTCATGTAAAATTCATTTTAGTAGAATATATTATGAGATAGCATGCTTGACTACATTACTTTATTCATTGAATCATGTCAAAATAAAAGAAATAATGACACTTACTAGAACGTCTTTTAGTTCTTGGTTTTTGTACGTTTTCGTTTTCTGACTGACATATATCAATAGATGAGTTAGTATCATCTGCAATTTCTGTAATTAGAATATTACATTAATAGATGTAATGTAGCATGCATATACATTGATAAATTTATTGCTTATACGGCTGTTAGAATAAAATGTGGAAACTATATGATCTGAAAAAGTTACAATATACACAAAATGTCGACAATCGATTCTGGCCGGAGTATAACTTAATCGAAAGTTTGTACATGACTCACCCAAAATTAATATTATAGCTAATAAATTAATAAGTTGTACCTTTATTTACAGTTCCTTTATTCCCTTCCTTATTTCCTTCGTCAGTGCTATTGTATTCTTCATCACTAGAACTTTCCTCTGTATCTGGAGAATCATATCCATGAGCTGCTTCTAAATGTTGTGTTATATTTAAAATATCACGACTAATAATGGGCTGCCTGTATACTTCTCTGTGTATTTTTTCGGCATGTCCCATAAAGTTTGCAAGATCAGATATTTCAGTATCAGCAAGTTCCATGCCTGCACAAAATGTAGCTATGTGCTTTCTTAGTTTAGTGCCTCGTAACAAATGCGCAACTTCCGCATTACAATCCTCAGAAAATTTTCTTATTAAAATACAAGCTCTTAAATACTTAAAACGTTTTAAATTATAACTTGGAAGACCAAAGACATAAGGATTTTTTGCAGGAACTTTGGCATTATAGCGAAATTGTAGTATTAATTTTATACATTCTAATAAATTAGAGTTTAGTAGGACAGGTACAGGGCGACCAAGTTTCCCTCTAATCACAAATCGTACGTATTTCTTTGCTGCATCTTGAGCTTTTAATGAAATCTTTTTAAAAAGATCATCCGCTGTATCAGGATCAATACCTTTGTACTGTTCAAAATCGGCTATGAGCATACGTTCAATTTCACCAGCTCGTCTGCGGTTGAATAATTGAACTGAAGTTAATGAACATTCGGCCAATGTTTGCCAATTTTGATATGTGTATTCATTTCTTAAATTGTCCAATGCTTCCTGTCGTTTACATTTTAAATACATGTATAATTTAGCTATATCGTCCATTGATGGAAGATCATTATTTTTATGTCTTTGCTGCTTTAAACGTGTTTCCATTACTGTTTTGTTAACACTGGTACCGTAATCTTCTTTTAGTAATTCTAAGAAGTCTTTAACTACAGAT